AGCGCAGTGACCGCTCTCATCAAGGCTGCTCGCTCAGTCCTTCCAGAGGTAACCACTGACCTCGCATATTGAGGCTGGCTTGTTTGAAGGCTGCTCCAGAGCAGGGGCAGAGCAAGTGCTGTTTGGCTGCAGCAGGCCACAGGCCCTTCAGCAATCCCACAGGCTGTTAAAGTTTGGACAGCTTCCCTGCCTGCCCTTGGGGCTGCTGGGCTCTCTGCCATTGCGGCGGCACACACTGCCCTGTCCTTGGGCTCGTGTGTCCTCCCAGCAGGAGGCCAGCCCCAACTGCTCACTGCATGGCACTGGAAGCCCTTCCCACAGCTGGAGCTTTTGCAGCCTCCTTTTTGCTGCTCTGATGCTGGTTACACAAGACCACAGTGGGTGTGAGATAGATTCCCACCATCTGTCACTGACTCCTGACAGCCTAATTTGTAGTAGTAGCATCAGTAGGCAGGCAGTTACAGACTTGTTTCTCCCCAGCAAAAACCACCTATGCAGTGTTTTTGTGCCATCAGTATAATTTAGCTGCATTTCTATTTTGACCCATTTCTCAATCTAGCAGTGATTACATCCCATGTGGCTGAGTAACAATGGTGAGTACGCTTCGAGGTATTATGGAGATTATAAAAGTCTTTTAGTTATGATGTGATCTGCCAGAGAACAAAGCAACCAAAAGTTAATGTTAAGCTTTTAAAATTAATTTGAAACTAAGCTTTTAATTTCAATCTTTTAGCCAACAAAGTGCTGTCTCTTCTGTACCCATCACTGGAAAAAAATGAGCACTGTATAAATGCTTTATCTCAGAGTTTCACAATCACAACAGGGCTTTTTGTAACTGTATTTTACTGCTCTTCTCTGATGCTTGCTGCATTTTGGGGAGAACAGAGTGGAAGTAAGGAAGAGTAACAACGATTTAGAACCTGTTCATTGCAGGGGAGTTGGATTAGATGGCCCTCAGAGGTCCCTCCCAACTCTAAGGATTCTGTGATTCTATGAAATAATGATTCCATTTATTTTTGTGAATGGAATTCTGTTACACTGTGCTTCACTTACACGTTTATATTCTTGACCTGATCTGATTGTGTTGGCTCACACCTTCCCAGTTTTATTCTCAATGTGGAATCCAAAGAAAACTTAAAAAGTAAAAGAACACGTTGCTGTATCTGTCTGTTGGCTGAGTGTCCCAGCATCATCCATATGAGCGTTTTGATGGTTTTCTTTCTGTTGAATATTTGCTCTCCAGAACTTGCCCTGTCCATTTTCCTCTTAATTCTTCTTCATACCCTGCGGGACAATAATTACAGTATCTCTCACTTCCTTTTATTTTAAATTTCAGTTTCCAGATGCTGTATGCAGATTGCTACATGACCCGCGAGGAGTTCTGGGATATGTTTGATGGTTCATTATACCACAGTCTGAGGGAGCAAATGAATTGCAAGGATGCCTTTCCAGAAGTGTACGACAAAATCTGCAAGGCTGCCAGGCACTGAGCTTGAACAGCCTAATTAAGCAATCAGGGAAAGATGAATTTACTATAACTAGTCCGTATATCCTTTTTAAAGAAAAGCTTTATTGCTCTCCAAATAAGCTCATTCTTGTTGATATTTAAATGATATGAACTCATGCTTTATAAACTCATGTTTAGTATTTCCTAGTATGCTTTAAGAACAGTTTTCCAAAACTCAAAGTGATTGTTTTTAAGAGATCTGAAGTGCTGATTACCTTGTGTATCTTGGACCTGTCTTGGACACAGGTGAACTCACCTAGCTCCAAGCATAAGAAAAGTAACTGGAAAAGTGGACACTGAAGTGATGCCAGCTAGAAACTAGAGCTGTATTTAAAATTACCTCTGAAAATGGTAAAGAGGTGACAGAAAGAGGTGCCAAAGCTGAATGAATTGTCACATTAATCGTTTGCCTCCAGTCAGTAAGCTGTAGGGCAGCACAGCAATGGTACCACGTCCTTCTGGCCGTGCAGAGCTGCGTGGTACATCAACACACAACCACACTCCCCAACAGTTGGTCTCATTTCAAAACTGAGCAGTGAGGTGTGAAGCAAATGCTTTTTACTTGTGCCTATCAGATTTGTACTGGCTTTGATTATAAAATGTTATGTGGGTATAGATTTTAGTTACTTCATTGGTTAACAGTATTCTGTTGGGTTGTGCCCCCTGATAGCAACGCTCTGGCTTTGTACAACTACTGGAAAAATTGCTGCTATTTCATATAGGCAATTATTAATTTGGGGCTTTGCTTGTTGTGAGTCTGTTTATTTGGACTTTTGGGGTTTTGTCTTTTGTTTTTGATTTTTTTGCTTAATTTTAGTGCCTTATAAACACTCAGTTGGAAAAGAACATGGGTCAGTGAGACCCTTCTGTCCTGGCCAGCAGGAAAAGGAAGAGTGCCCTTACAAGTTAAGGCTTTATTTTTACAAGGTTTGCCAGAGCAAGTGGCTATGGATAAGAAGAGCTCTTGTTTGGGGTGTTTGGTATGCTCAGGCTTCAGTTCTCGCTCGAGAGGCATTTTTGCTTTTCAGTTTACCTGGATTAGATTGATAGGCTTTGTAAAAAGGACTGTTTCAGTCACCTGGAGAGGAGATCAATAGTAAATACTGTTCAGTTCCCCCTTCTGGTGCACAGCACAGTTGCACACTTCATCCAGTCAAGTGTAGAAGTGTGGGAATGTTTTGACTCTGTAGCCAGAGCCGTGGTTCCAATCCAAGCCCATGTCTCATCCAAGCAGTGTGGCAGATTGTTACTCTGAACATTACTGAGCTTGAGGGTGAGAGTCATTTCATGAGGGATTGCTTGTGGGGTAACACAGAAAACACTTTAAATGGTTTGCAGTGAGAAGCTTTGTGATTTTTTTTTATGAATGCTAAACCAATGATGTTATTTATTGATAGATGGATGCTTACGGTCCAGATGAAACCAATGATAAAGCAGTGACAAGAATAAGCTTGGCCTGTTCCTCAGTGATGCACGCTGGGCAAATGGTGTGCAAGTAAGGTACCCCTTACAGTCCTGTGCAGGAAACTGGTGGCAGGAGCAGCCTGCCAAGGGGAGACACAGCCACTGCAGGATGCGTGCAGTGCTGCCCAACCCGTGGGCTGCCCAAACAAGAGCAGGGCGAGAGGGAGGGCTGTGTTGGTGATCCATTCCAGGCCTCATGGCAAACAGGAAAGCAAGCATTGATTCTCAGAGTGGGAATCTGTCTTCCCACCCCTGCGAGGGAAGCAGCACACGAGCAGTTTCCTTGTTCCTGTGGCAAAGCTATGATTTAGCCCTGTGCTTGCAAGGTGATCTGCACAGAGCAAGGATTGGTTTACTCCACTTTTAAGTGGCAGTGCTAAAAAAGCTAGAGGAATATGCAAATACTTTTACTCAAGCTGTGTTTCTCTCACATATTGATGATCTTTAGGTATGCACTGTATTTGATTTTTCACTCGTTAATTTATGAGCAAACTTGGTATGATGTGGTCTGGTACTGTCACTGTCTACCAGTCACACATGTGCACAAGCAGAATTGCTGTTGGTCTTATTTTTTGGCTGTATGGGCTGTTTAAAATAAAAATATAGCCGGTGTACTGCTCCAAGTGGCATCTTTTAACAAATGATACCTTATTTTTAATGGCGTTGTTTAGCCTTTCTTGTTGTACTGTTACAAGTGGTCAGCAATTAGTGAGAAAAGCTGCTGCCTTGATCAAAGGCCAGAGGCGTTGCAGTGCTATTAAATGAGGTGTCTAATTCTGCAAACAGCTCTGAAGGAATGCCATTGAAGGCCATGAGTCTACTCTTATCTCTGACCCACGATATGCCTTATAGCTGAGCCTTAACCCTTCCATTATGCCTCATTAAGAACCTCATAATGCCAGTTATTCTGATTTTTCCCTTCACTTCACTGTTTCCCTGTGACTTTCTGGTCCGTGAGAGCAAAACTATATTTTGGATTTGTCTATCTACATCAACTGCTGTAGCTCCTATCTCAGTTTTCCTTTCTGTTAAAACTATTCCCTGGTTCGAATGACCAACCACAGAAGAGAGGATGAAGATGCAGTGCCCTCTTCAGCCTGAAGAGTTTCACATCCCCATCTTCAGTTTCTTTGAGAAGTGCCCTTGCAGGAACTCTGTAAGCTTGGAGGGAGGTATTCCAGCCCTCCTGCAGCTTGGTCACAGCTTATACATTTTCTTCCAATGCTCCCTTCAGAGACCTTCCTTTCCTTTGCTTGCCTTTCTATTACAATAATCACTATTTCTTTAAATTACTACAGTTTTACCTGTGTTCAATTATCTCTCCCACCAAAGGGTAATTGCAGATGAATTAGCATACCTAATCAGCCACAACTAACATGTAATTACACCTAAATTTAATTATTCCATTCTGTCTAAACACTGGCGTGAGCCTTTGTAAAGGTTAATGTGAAGTGAACCAGCGTACTCGAGGTATGGTTTTATGGCCATCCTTTGTTACAGCTGATAGAGCTTTCTGCTCATTTCACTTTCTTCATTGCCTCTAGGCCTTAATATGCTACAAAATTTGGAATGATGACACTAAATTCCCCCTAATGCCCTCCAGCTGCTTGCAAGTATTTGAATTGTTAATTCAAGTGAAGCTGTGTGTTACAGCTTGTAATGAAGATCCTCACACATAACTGCTCCAGGATGGCAGGACAGGTACACAGACAGTTCCCAAACCTCTTCCAGCTGCCATGGTGCTGCTCTCTCAGAACCAGCTCTCCTTTCAAGTTGCTGTGATGGACCTTGGGGCATTCACTGCTTGTCACGATAACTGCCACCAAGCACAGAACAGATAGAGAGCTGCACGTTCTTTAAGTAGTGCAAGATGATGGGGAAGGAAATGCTTGATACTGAATGAGTGCTGCGTGCCAGCAAACCTTCCTGTGGTCGGTGTATCTGCATCTGACGTCCTCTTCTCCACTGTGTCATTTTCATAAAGGCCAAGGTGAAAATAATGAATTAGTCAACAGACAGGCTAGACTGATGAATGTCTGAAGGGTGCTTTATTACCACAGAACAAGGCTTGCTTCCTATCTCTTGCACGTCAGCACACTGCAAGTATTCACATTACACCATCTCGTCAACCGTCTGTGGTTTATTCGCCAATTCAGGCTTCCCAGCACCATCTTACATTTGGAAAACAGCAGTGCTTTCTTCACAGGTATCTGGACAACGTGGAGCAGAAATCAAATGACTCCATTTGTTTTTCGCAGCAGGCTTTAGCCGCTCGCTGTGAAAAGAGGATGTGATTCAGTGAGCTCTAATTATTGGCTGGATTAATCTCATTAGTCTTAACGAGCACGGAGGTGAACAGAGCTCTTAAAAGCCTGGCTATTCCCTTGAAAGTAAAGCTGTAGCTTGAAAAGTGATTTTGGAGCTAGTGCTATTTGATCATAGAGCAATTCGGTGCATTTGAACATCCTGCTCACTGTTCAGGTTTTTTTCTATTCCTACAGGAACTACAAAATTAACAAAGCCAGCGATATTGAAAGCTAGATTTCATTATGCCTTCTCCTTCATCATAGGATAGCTAACTCGTAGCTGCCACGTTGTATTCAGCTGAAATGGATTTCTAACAACTCTCTGGAGATCAAGACAGCTTTTGCAGAGCTGTCAGCCCATAGTACCACCACAGCAGTTTGCTAATCTTGGCCACGAGCAAAGGTGAAAGCGGAGGACTGCCCTGAGGTCTCTCATTAGTACAGTTCCCAACTACTTCACAGGGTTTTCCCCCTAGCGATTTCAAAGCCCTTTGCAATGGAACTGAGCCTTGTTATCTTCCTTCTCCAAACGGGTAAACCAAGGCACGGTCTGAGAACACGATTTTTGTTTGAGGCCATTGATCAAATCAGTGCCAGCACAGGGAATGAGCTGAGAGAGCCCCATCCACCGTCAGGTTCTTCCCCAGGCTGCCTCCTCTAACTCAGACAGACGCTGTTTGTCTGTACCTCCTCTTCATACAGACTGCATTTCACAAGGTAGAAAAACAGCCACCTTAATACCTTTAAAGTGGGCAGCCAGCAGCATTTTAACCCTCCTGCTGCCCTTACACAGAGGGAAGCTCTAAGGGCTGCTCTCTTCTTCACAGACTGTTAACTTACCATTCACAGAGGGGCACTGCTCTGCGGCCAGCAAGTGTTGCTCAGTCCCATTCCAGCACTTGCAACTCCACAATCATCCCTTCTGCTATTTAGCCTCTCACATCAGTTGTAAACTATCAGTAACATCCTCAGCCTCACCAGTTGCTCAAGATAAAGGGTTTTCCTGCAAGCTGGTGTGAAAGTGCTTCTAGCCCCTGTTATATGCCACTTACAGCAGGTAGGCATCCTGCTTCAAGTTGCTCAGGTACCGCTGTGTGTCACTCTGGTACAGGGACTGGTATCTGATCTTCCGAGGGTATTTTTCACACCTGGTGACATTATAGCGGCCCACACCCACAGGATTCTGCAAAGACAAGGTCACGGGTTGTTTCCCATCGTTGCAGAGGCAGCGTGGCTGATGACAGTGGGGCAAAATTGGGTTGTAGCTTCATGTTTCCAATAGCAAAAAAAAAAAAACAATACGTGGAATATCTTAACCAAAGGTCTGCATTGCAGGGGAGGGAGAAAGAGACATGCTATGTGGTGTTAGCCCAGTCAGTCCTCTCCACAAGCAGCTCCTCTCATCTCACAGTACTGACAAGAGGGGTCTGATCAGCTCTGCTGGCTCAAATGTGCTCCCTAGTTGCCTACTGCTAGTTTCAAGGGCTGCTTTATCGCAACCTTGCCAGGGATGTAATCTGCTGCTCATTCCTAGCCAAGATGGACTATTTGAGACTACAGCTTTCTCCACCTGCTTTGAGCCCTTCAGTCTTTGTTCTGGTTCTCTGTGGGGAAGCTGCAAAGCTGAATACAACTCTAGGAAGGAGTACTAAGGGAAGGGCTCGTACCTACACTGGCTCTTCAGTGTGCTGCTGATGCTGCTAGAGAAAAAAAAAAACAACTGACCTTTAAGTAGCAGAATATGACTTTGTGGGAGGATACAAGAGCTCCTAGCATCGGCAGGTAATCTAGTTGCCCTCATCCATGAAATGCATCCTCTTGCCTACAGCTGATGCAGGGCAAAACTTCCAGGAAGCGTTGTCAGAGCATGCACTGAGAAGGGCAGAGGTGATGTGGCTGCTGCTGAGCTCCTGTCCCTCTGCTCAGCATCAGCCCAGCTCACGCTGCCTGTCTCAGGGCCTGCTCTGCACTGGGTGCCCACAGCTGCAGGAAGGGGTTTGTCCTCTCGCTGGGTGCCAGCAACTGATCAGAAACAGTGACAGGGCAAGCTTAGAGCCTGATGGCTCCTGTGTCCCTCTCTGGCTGCCCTGTACTCACTCACCTCATTCCCCATGAAGAGGCGTTCAGACTTTCTGTCAAACCTCTTGGCAGATGACCAGAACGGGGGCTGGTTGAAGTCTGCTGGTCTCTCAACGGGCTTTGGATCATACGAGCCTGGCCCCACCACGTACTGTACAGAAGAAAACTTCTTACCCTTCCATCTGCTCTCAGGAAGAGCAGCCCCACAGCACTGCCCGGCACCCAGCACCACCACGTGAGCCCAGCAGCTTGGGCAGGATGGAAATGGAACACCCCACTGCCACTGACCGCGTCCCTCGGGCACTGGCTGAGTGTGGCCCAGAAGATCCTCTCTGAGGGGCAGCCCGGGTTCCGTGGCAGTGTGCTGAAGCAGCCTTTCTTCTTGTTCTCCTTTGACATCAGCTCATCCAGGAACCCCTTGGCAGTGCCAGCGTGCAGCTCGGTGCCTTCCCCCTGCTGGGCCACAGGAGCAGTGTGAGGCTCAGCTGCTGGAAGTCACTCCAGCCACCCCAAACACCCCTCGCTGTGAGAGCTGAGCCTTTCACTGCTCACAGGCATGCTCTCCTGCTGCAACGATTTGTCTTACCAGGCTGCTCAGATCCAAGAAAGCCAAAAAGCAAAACTCAAGATGGGTGACATAACGCAGCTGTCCATCTTACACGTTTGTGGTGGTGATGCCACAGCTTACTGAGAGCCCCACGTCCAGGTTACACACCTCCCCGTTGCGCCGCCGGCCGCCTGCAGGCTTCAGCTTGTCCCTTGAGAAGACCTGGCAGGGGATGCGCCCGCCTGTCTGTCGCAGCTGCTTCTCGGTGCTGCTCCATGGGGAGTAGGTGCCAGGTCCCAAACCACTGCCCTGCAGGCATACAGGGAAAGTGGCAGGGACACCTCCAGCAGAGAAACACAGCCACCCCAAAACCACAATCCCAGGGCAAAGAGCAGGACGTGCCACGGCTGTCTGGAAGACACCTTTCTCTGTCCTGCTGTCCATCAGCCCTCGTGTGCTGGCAGAGCGCCTGTCCCTCTCCTCCAGCAGAGCGTAGGGGTTCCCCTGGGGGCCGTAGGTGCCAGGCCCAGGGAAGCAGTCCTGCAGGAGAGATGGGACAGCATGGGCAGCCCCCAGTCAGCTCTGCTGACAGGGGAAATGGTCACAGGGATGCCAGCAGCTCCCAAGTCAGGCTGCAACGTACATGCTGGCTTTCCCTGAACCTCTGCTCCCTGGTGTCACAGATGCCCCTCAGGCTCGAGGGGTGTGTCTCCTGCAGAAAATCCCTGATGTTGTACGTTCCTGGGCCCAGCCTCTCTTGCTGCAGAAGGAAAAACATGGTTTAAGGATGGGCTGGGAATTGAAGGCAACACTGCCAATGCTTCTTGGATGCCAGGACAAGGAGGGTGGATCAAATCTGTCTCTTACCTGCTGTTTGCGTTTCTTCAGCATCACCTTGAACTGGAAATGGGGCAGTTGAATTGCCCGGAAGCCTGCCTTTGCTCTGGCCCAGCCAGAGGCCGGTGCTGTCCCCTGCAAGGCAGAGCCAAAGCACAACTGTACATACAGTGCTGCTTCGCATGCTGGCTCTGTCACCCATCCCAGATTAAGGCACTACTAAAAGGTTTTGTTGTTGGGTGAGAAGCGGCTCCCCAGAGCACGAGCACATATCCCACACAGACACTTTAGGATGATCCCCAGTGGGTGCCTCTGACTGCTGTGCAAAGTAGGCATGATAATTCAGGAGCTACACCAGGAATTCCTGCTCTCCCCACTGTGAGCCCAGTTGGTGGCCTCACCTGGCTGCCCATGTCCCACATTGGTGACTCTGGTCACCAGGGCTGCTGTGACATTCTTCACCATGGCAGCCTTCACCATGGCAGCCCTCACCATTGTCACCTGCCACTCATTCTGAGGTGCTGTAGCTATATACTGGGGGCTCCAGCCTGGCTGCCCTAAGCCATGCAGTCCCCACTGCAGGATTCCTAGAGCTCTCTGGGCCATGCATGCTGGCAAAGCCAAGCAAGTGCAGTTTCACTGAGCACAGCCTACGCTTGGCTCCCACCAGTGATGCAATGTCCCCCTTCTGGCACCCACATTCCCATGTGAAGCATGACCCGGTTCTACCCCAGCACTGCGAGGGTGCAAGGGATGGTGTCCCCACACAGCACCTCCAAGGGGTTGTACTGAACACATAGAGATTTGTTAGATACTAAAGTTTATCTCACAAGCCAGGGACATGGCCAAAATTAGTGCCTGACCAGCTCCAGCATCACGAGCTGTGACCCAAAAAGCAGTTGAAGCAGCTTAAAAGAAGCAGCAGTTTTTAAAGCTTCACCTTGGGGCTATTCTGCTGTCTGACACACAGAGCTGCAGACACGCAGAGCTGGCGGCTGTTTCCCAGCTGCTCTGTGATGGTAGCAGCCTGTGCCACCTCTTCCCCCTGGAGGAGCAATCCCAAGGAACACAGGAGGTTCTAGGACAAGCCCTGCAATTACTATTTTATTGGACATAAAAACATCACCCTGGAGTTGTAAATTACAGAAGCATCACAGGAAGGAATGGAAGCACTCAGGAAGTGCAGCCAGACAGATGTGCAAGGCAGCACTACGGGCTCGTGGACCCTCCCAGCTGTGTAAGATCATGGCCAGGGTCAGCCAGGATGTAGCCAGTGTGACTGGGCCAGGGCTGAAACCTCATTTTGATCCCTCTCAGCACAGCTGGAAAAGATAAAGAGTGCAGACAGGCTCCCAGGCACCGAGCCTCCAAGCTTAGCTCCTCATCCAGCACTGTCTGTTGGTTTAATGAGAGATATCAGCTTTCCCCGCAGATCTTGTCTCTTGTACAGCCTCAAACCCTCCCACTTAAAACACTGCCCCGCAAATCAATCCAAGATGTTTTGTCTCTTTGATCCGCTCAGCAGGCAGTAAGTCATTGACAGAAACACATTTTGCTTCAGCAGCTCCAGCAGGCGATGGAAACAGCGCAGGACCGTTTTCCTGCCCTGCAGCAGAACCTGCACATCACAGCACGGGGCGTCCTGCAGGACCTGCAGCTCGGCTGCTGTGTATCCCACACTGTGTGTGCACTGCTACCTGATCGCAGCGGGGGGAACCGAGGGAAACCATCACCGAGAGAACAGTGCAGGTGCTCTGGGAGGGAAGCACCATCCTGGAGCCAGAAACCTGCAGCCAGATCCTGGCTCAGAGCTGCAGAGCAGCTTCCCTGGGTCACACTGGGCAGTGCCTGCAGTTCATGCTTTTAGTGGCTTCAGTGCTCCTGACTCAGAAGCATCAACAATCAGCCCTTCAATCCATTTATCTTTCCCATTTCCTCATATAAATCGTAGTGCACATTAGTGCATGTTCCTCATCACAGAAGAATTATGAAGATTTCCCCAAATCTCGTTTTTAAATAAACAGAAACGCTTATTATTACTTCCTTATATTAAAAAAGGAATAACTTAAGCCCCCATAAAACCAGGCTCAGCAAAGTGACATCTCCTCCCCATCTCTTTGGAGATGGATGCATCCTCCAGCTCCAGCTCCGGCCTCCAGGTCCCATGGTTTCGCACAGCGTGAGCTGAGGTTGGACAGAGACCGGATCCTGACAGAAGAGGCCGACAGCAGCCTGAAGGGGCTTCTCCGTGCCCGAGTACAAACGCAGGCACGGTGCAGCTGGGCTTCTCGCTTGACGGCGGCCTCCCACAGACCACCATCGGCCCCCCAGCCCTGCGGCAGGACGCCAACCGTACGGCCTGCGGCGCGGCCTCCGCACAGCAGGCGGCGCTGATGAGCAGCCGTAGAGCCAGCGGCACGTTCTGCTTCCGGGAAGGAAAACGGTGCGGTGTGTCACGTGACTTGGGCAGTGCGGGTGGTGCGGGCGCTGCCGGCGCGCGCGGCTGAGCCGCGGGGTGCGCGCGTGCACGTGTAAGCGCGTGTCCGTGCGCGCTCACGCGGTGCCTGTGTTCACGTGGGTGTGCAGTACCTGCAGGCAGGCGCTGCCCAGCCTGGGGCCTGGTGGGAATCGGTGCTGGGGCTGCAGTGCCACCCAGCACGAAGAAGCACGTGGCAGCGGTGCGGCGTTTTTGTAGCCACCAGCACTCTGAGCTGCAGCACCTTGTGTGTAACTCCTTGTTTTGCTGCTTCCTCCCTGCAGGCGTGATGCTGGGCTTGCTGCGGATGGGGCTCCCCGTGCTCAGAGCAGCAGCAGGCCCGCAGCTGCAGGCCCGCAGCTCCCAGCACGACGCCTTGGCTCATGGCCGCCTGTTGCTCTCGCAGCTCTTCCAGCCTCTGAACCTGCAGGTGGGTGGTGTGGCAGGATGCGAAGGCCAGGCGGCGGAGCTGAGCTGCCGCAGCCACCGACTGATGCTGCAGGGTGGCCTCATCCACCCCGCCAGCCCCGGCTGCTACCACCTCCTGCCACCTGCCGTGCGCTCCATGGAGAAGCTGATCCGCCTGATCGACGGCGCCATGCGGAACATCGGCGGGCAGAAGGTGAACATGCCCAGCCTGAGCTCTGCTGAGCTGTGGCGGGCCAGCGGGCGCTGGGAGCAGATGGGGCCAGAGCTGTTCCGCTTGGCTGACCGGCACAGCAAGGAGTACTGCCTGGGCCCCACGCATGAGGAGGCTGTCACAGAACTGGTGGCTGCACACGGCAACCTGTCCTACAGGCAGCTCCCACTGCGCCTCTACCAGGTGACCAGAAAGTTCCGGGATGAGCCCAAGCCCCGCTCTGGCTTGCTGCGTAGCAGGGAGTTCTACATGAAGGACATGTACACATTTGATGTGTCTGAGGAGGCAGCACGTCACACCTATGAGCTGGTGTGCAGAGCCTACCGCAGCCTCTTCAAGCGCCTGGGCCTGCACTGCGTCCAAGTGCAGGCAGCCACTGGCACCATTGGTGGCACTGCATCCCATGAGTTCCAGCTGCCGGCTGACATCGGTGAGGACAGGTTGGTGCTGTGCCCTGCTGGGCATTTTGCAGCTAACGTGGAGATGGTGGATGGAGAGCAAACAGCGTGCCCTACTTGCGGAGAAAAACTCACCCAGAGCAGAGGGATCGAAGTGGGGCACACATTTTATCTGGGCACCAAGTATTCCTCTGTCCACAGTGCTGTCTTCTACACCCCTGAGAACAAGCTCCAGCTAGCAGAAATGGGCTGCTATGGTCTGGGTGTCACTCGCATCCTGGCAGCATCCATTGAGGTGCTGTCTACAGAGGACAGCATCCGCTGGCCAAGCCTCATTGCGCCCTACCAGGTGTGCTTCATCCCCCCCAAGAAAGGCAGCAAGGAGGAGCAGGGAGCCGTGCTGCTGGAGCAGCTCTATGATGACGTGGCTGAAGCCCTGCCTTGCCTGGTGGGCGACATGGTGCTGGATGACAGGACGCAGATGACTATTGGCAAAAGGCTGAAAGATGCCAACAAGCTGGGGTACCCCTACGTGGTGATAGCCGGGAGGAGGGCTTGTGAGGATCCCCCGGTCTTTGAGGTTTGGGATCAGAGCTCTGGCACGGTTTTGTACCTCACCAAGGAAGGTGTCATTGAGTTACTGAGTAAAGTGCAACTCCCTTGAAATCCCCGCCTCCAAATCTTATCATCTTTGCAGCGCGGAGTGGGCCTGAACAGCCCGGTTCGTTGTTTAGGAGCTGCTAACAGCTGTGCTGCGGGGCGGGGCGGGGACGCGCCGGGTCAGCCCACATTCCCTGTGGGCCTGTCCCCGTGGTTCATCAGAGAGCCGCTAAGGCTGGAACAGACCGCAGAGTCCGCAGCCCACCAACCCCGTCCCTCAGTGAGATTTTGAACACCTGTAGGATGAGGGCAGCCATTTGCAGCCCCATCCCTATCGCCGCACGCAGCGCACGGCCGCCCCGCACCCTACAGCGGGCAAAATGGCGGCGCGGGGCCGGAAGGGGGTGGGGCGTGAACCGGAAGGGAGGTGAGAAAAGGCCGGAAGTGGCGGGGCGGGCGGGCTGGTAGCAGCATGGCGGACGCCGGGGAGAGCGGCGATGCGGTGCCGCGGTACCGGAACGGCTTCCATCCCGACACGTGGGAGCAGGTGAGGCGGCGGCGGGGCCGGGCGGGCGTAACAGGCCGGCGGCGCGGGCTGACGCGGTGTGCCCGCAGGAGCTGGAGGCCATCCCCATGTTCATGAAGCGCTGCCCTGCCGAGATCGACGCGACGCGGCAGCCCGCCCTGGCCTGCCTGCAGTCCCTGCTGTTCGATGAGGAGAAGGAGCCCGCAGGTGGGCGGCGGGTCCCCCCCCATCCCAAGGGCGGGTCCCACCGGAGCCGCGCAGCCCACCTCACGCCGCGCCTCCCCGCCCCGCAGAGCTGGCCGCCATGTACAAGAACGAGGGCAACGCGTACTTCGGGGAGAAGGACTACGGCAGGGCCGTGCGGGCCTACAGCGAGGGGCTGCGGCAGCGCTTCGGGGACGTGGAGCTACGAGCCGTGCTGCTGTCCAACAGGGCGGCCGCGCACTGCCGCCTGGGTGAGCCCCCCCGGTGTCCCTCCCCCCTTGCAGAACGGGCAGGTGATGCAGTTCTCGTGCTTTGCCGCCTGTGGGACCCGCTTGTACTTTAAATGTGCAGTCCAGGTTTCTGAGCTGCTCTCCTTCACCTGCAGGTAACTACCGCTCCGCTCTCGCTGATGCAACCCAAGCAAGGAAGCTGAAGCCCGACCACCTCAAAGCCATTGTGAGGGGTAAGGGCAGTGCACAATGGCCACAAAGCCTCCCCCTCCTGCCCCAGCTATGCTATCCTGTGCCCGGCCTTGTCTGTAGGCACCTTCAGGGGTGGGGTATCACAGACTGTACCACTCTGCTGTTGCCATGGCTGCAAAAATGCTTCAGATTCTCTTCCAGCTTACTAGGCCTGCTGGCAGACTGCAGCTCAACACAACCCTACAGTGCAACAGAGTGTGTTGCTTTAGAAGGCACCAGAGTTAACACTGGCTTTATAACCACTGCTTTGTGTAATAACTCTGTGCCAGCTCCAATACCAGGCGCTTAAAAGCCTTAATCCTTCCAGGAGCTCTCTGTCACATGGAGCTAAAGAACTACTCTGAAGCCATAGCGTGGTGTGAGGAGGGCTTGCGAATAGATTCAAAAGAGAAAAAGCTTCTGGAAGTGAGATCTAAAGCTGACAAATTAAAGGTAAATATTACAGCAGTCTGGCATGCTTGTTGCAGGAGTGATCTGTGCTGCTTACTGTCAACTTAGAAACACCTTGGTTGGAGAGTTCTTCATTCAGGTTTCTGCGTAATGTAATTTCTCCTCAAATGTGGTTCCGTGTAATAATGCTGTTGAGATGTGCAGAGAAAACAGCTGGGGCCTTCCTGGAACCTCCCCTTGTCAGCAGAGTAGTGCTGGACATTGGCTTGCTGTGCGTGACTGGTACAACTCTTTCTTACATGCAGCGAGTTGAGGAGAGGGATGCAAGGAAGGCAAAGGCAATGGCGAAGAAAGAACAGTGTCAAAAGGAACGTTTGCTTGCAGCAATAAAGGTGGGTCTGTGAGAGGACTTGTTTCTGTGGGTTTTTTTTCGGGGGGGAGGAGGAAGCGATGGGGACAAGGTGATTCGGTTAAGGATTTGTTATAGCTCTATCTTGAGTTCCTAGGGCTGTACCCCTTTTTAGGTAACAACTAATGCAAAACAAAAACCTACTTGTTTTCCTTCCTCTCTTCTAGGAAAGAAATATCAAGCTGGTTGTTGAACCTTCAGGTGAAGAAGAGGAAATATCAGATGGTCTGGCTGAGATACGTCTGAATGGGTTCCACTCTGACAATGTCACAGGGGCAAAGGTGCACTTAGATGCTGATGGCAACCTAAACTGGCCTGTTCTCTTCCTGTACCCTGAGCATGAACAGACAGACTTCATTGAGGCTTTTCATGAGAACTCCAGGTAAATGCACTGTCTGCAGCATTCTTTCATGAAGGAAGAGTTTGAGTGAGTGAGAACAGCTGGTAAGTGAAATGCTGTCATACCAATTAAGTAGCTCTGGATTTCTAATCTCATAGCTGGCCAAACAAGGTTAAAACAACTTGGAATTTGTAACATTTTTGTAGGCACAGATCCACCCACAGCTTTGCAATTAAAAATGACAGTGCAAACAGATGAATAAAGCCGTACTTCCTAGATGGTATTTTTAAGTGCATCTTTTCATTTTCACATTCTTTGGTGGTGAATTCTCAGAACTAATTGGCCAGCTCTCCTACTGTACCAAAATAAACAGCCAGCTGACACACGAGTGTGTTCTGAGCACTGATCTGCTGAAGTATGGCATTGTTAAGACCATGTAGACGAAAAATCAATTGTAAATGAAATTCACACCTTTTGTAGTGTGAAAATGGAAATTTAAAAATAATTTGCTGTTGCTTGCTGTTGCACTGTTCAAGTTTAAAACCATCGGTATGATTGTAACAGGGTATGGTCTCATCGAGAAAGCAGTGAGTTAAAGGGGAAGAAGCTATTAGTCTTTTAGTGATCTAAACTTATTTCCAAGTCTATTGCCTAATTTGCTGATGTATTTTTACTGTCATTCACGTGCCAGTGTACAAATCAGGCTGAATGCTAAGCTAAAGTGTGTGTTCTGGCTTTTAGATTTATCGATCATTTAATGGTGATGTTTGCTGAGTTACCTCCTTGGGATTTAGAAAGAAAGTACCTTCCCAGCAATCTCGAGGTGAGAAACTGGACTTTCTTTCTATTTGAGTGTGTTGATTTGTGAAATTTTCGTTGGTTTTGGTGTTTGTTTTTTTTTTTCTCTGAAGTGAGACTAAGCATCTGTGTGTGTTTGAAAGCAATAGCATAATTACTTGTGCACCACCCATGGCTGTGAAATAGCGATTTGGAGAGCTACATTCACTTGTCAGCACATCTGGAAAATGTTCAAGTTTACATAGGCAGGGTTTATTAACAAAAATGAAAGCACTTTCTATCATATACAGAGTGTGTGAAATATAAGGTATTTACAGAATACTGTTAGGAAATTAGGAATCAAAACAATAACTGAGATTTAGGCCAGTGAGCTGGTACACTGTACATAAAGAAATGTAGATGGTGATGTCTCATTTCCCACCTCAGTGTGCATGCACTGGGCAGCCTGCAGCCTGGTACTAAAGGACGATATCTGTGGCAGAAATTATTTTCCTGCTGACACTGCTGTCAGAAAGCAAACTGGTTTATGCCAGGAAGACTTTGAATATACACAAAATAGTGCACTGCTGAAATGAGTGTCTGACACAGTCAGTTCAAGGTACAGAAATTTGTGAAGCCTGTATGAGATGTGTGCTGTGTTCTTACTGGACTTAGTTTGTCTTCATATGACTTAAGTATGTAACTCTCCCAAATTTTCTCAGCTCTATTTTGAAGATGAAGAAAGAGCAGAAATGTATGAGCTGAACCCAGAACACACATTGCTACAAGTGCTGCAACACCAAAGGTGAGGCTCTACCTGCTTGTCTCTAGTGAGAGCACAGACTTTGGGCTTTAAGTGCAGGTTTTTTTTTCTGATTTAATAGCACTTGCTCTGAGGGAGGGAGGTATAGAGCACCAAGCCACATGGTTTTTGTGCCTGCTTTAGTGATTAGTGTTCCTGCCTCTCCCCAAAAATGCACAGCTTTCCAGGACTAGGTGGAAGTGGGAAGGGAAGTGGGACTACACACAAGCAGCAGCACTAGAGGGGCTGTTTCATACCCCATCTAAACAGTGCTACTTATAAAAAGGCAGCAGCAGTGTATAAAGAGAGCGTGTTGAAGGTTAACAATGCTCTCACTGTTAATAATGCTGTGTGAGCAGTCCCCAGCACAGCATGCAGCACAGTTTCACTCTCTGAAATTGACTTTCAAGTACTGTGCTGTTGTTTAGAGAAAAGAGTCTGCTGTTGAGAAACCAAAAAAAGTATTGCAGAGCTGGTGCTGTTAACTTGCAGCAGCTTGTAGCTGGCAGGGGATGCTTGCAGCACAGCTCCAGCAGAGTGGTCTGTCACAGGGGGAGCAGAGCTCGAGCTCTGCTGCTGTGGACTGTCTGAACTGGCACTCCATAAAACTCAGCAGTGTGCATAAACCCTCAGATTTCAGGCTGTAAGGGCACTTGCAAAAGGAACCTCATTCCAGGGACAGAACAACAGCTCTCTATTTTAATTAGGGGTGGTGGTTGGGAGAAGCATTGATTCATAACACTGCTCCTTGGATAAGGGTAGCCCTGGCTCTGAAAGGCTCTGCTGATCATCAAAAGCAGCCTGTCATCCTTTGGGAGGTCAGGCTGTGCTGTGCTGGGCAAAAGCTGCTTGCATGATGCTTGCCCAGACAGAGGGAAACTAGAGGACTCTCTTTAATCTTCGCAGGTATTTTGTGAAGGCTGGGACTCCGACAGTGCTGGCTTTTGTGAAGAGTTCTCCCTTCTCTAAGAAGTATTTCAGTGGCAAGAAGGTGCATCAGCTGTAATGAGCAAGAAGGAACCGAGGAATCATGTGCAAGGGATTGCTGTTTATCTCGGCTACAGACAGCAAACTTCTGCTCGTACAGAAATGCCTTGCACACTTCAGGGGAGAAATAGTCTTGGCACACACAGAAACTTCCAGCAAAGAAGCATAGAAGGAGAATGAAAGGCTTACAAGAGGGGATTATTTGTTTAAATAGAAATCCAGCTGGCTTGCAGAAGGTCTCCTCTATGACAGGCTGCATGGGGCTTTGAAATAAACCTGAAACAGTGCCAAACATTGGCTGCAGCTGAAGCAACAGCAGCTGGGAATGTACTTACCTGTGAAAAATCGCTGACTTCCTGCGAGGTGGGCTGTAGTTGCCAGGGTTTAATAGCAGTGCTCTGGGGTGAGTTACCTGCCTGCTGCCACGAGCTGAGTGCAGCTGGGCTCCTGCATGGGCCATTGCAGCTCTGAGGATTAGCAGCAGCTGGTTTTCACTGCCCAGAGCTGCTCCTGGCCAGGGGAGAGCAGAGCTCTTTGTCTGGAGCAGCGTTTTACTGACTCTTTTGCTACCTATATAAACAGGAGCTAGACATGTCTATTTTAAGTAGGCCGATTCCTGTCTAATAAATGAGGTGATCTTTTTTTCCTCACCATATGAAATACTGAAAGTGAATTCTGACAGTAATTCTGAGCCCAAACATAACAGTTTTATCCCTCCGGTTAATTTGTAGTGCCAACAGGATCATCTGTGCTTCTGTATGAGCTTGTAATTAAAAATAATTCTAACTCTAATTTCTTTCTCCCAGAGCTGCCCTGGTGAGCAGTGGCTGCAGTTTTAAGAAAATTAAGTGCACAGGGCAACAAAAAGCCATAAAAACTTCTTACAGCCTGGAGGATTATTCTTTGTCCAGTGCTGCATTCACACAGCTCTGAGAAAGTAAACAGAATTCCACGTTGCTATTTCTGAGTTACTGCACTGTGCACAAATATAGTAAAAAATATCAACAGGGTTGCTTTGCAGCCATGCTCACAAGGCGGAGAGGTGGGCAGTCAGGTAGGACAGGCTCGGCCCAGTGCAGGTCATGCAGCAGTGTTGCAGAGCAAGGATACGGGATGAGCTGATGGCACAGCTACCTGCATGCAGGGTGGGAGGCATGTGGCCACCTGCAGGATTTGCACCCAGCCTGACCTCCTGCAGCTGCCTTCCGTGCAGAGCATGGCTGTAATGGTATTGGAGATGGCCTGTCTGAATCACTGCATGTTCAGCATGGAGGCAGCAATGAAAAAAAGATAATGATCTACAAGGGGAAGAGTGCCTGCTGTAAGCAGCTGCTGCGTGTGGTTTCTCCCCCACTCCTCTTACATGCAAAGTTTTCTGAAGTCTGGATGCTAACTGCTTGGTTTTAACCAAAGCCACGTGTGGACCTCAGCACTGTTTGCAAGCCAGCCCCAGCAGAGCAGAATGAAGTGGGACTCAGTGGAGGAAGAGGTTGGGGCTGCAGCCAGTTGGCTTTGGCTGCGAGGCAGCCCCTGCTGTAATATGCTGTCTGTATCCTGGGCTGCATCCAGAGCAGTATGGCCAGCAGGTCAGGGGAGTGATCCCACTCCTCTGCTCTGCCCTTCTGAGACCTCAGCTGGAGTACTGCATCCAGATATGGAGTCCTCAGTGCAGGGGAGACATGGACCTGTTTGAGTGCATCCAGAAAAGGGATGCAAAAATGATCCGAGGGATGGAATGCCTCTCCTATGAGGACAGGCTGAGAGCTGGGGCTGTGCAGCCTGGAGAAGAGAAGGCTACAGGAAAACCTGAGAGCAGCCTGTGAGTATCTATGGGGAAGCTGTAAAACAGAAGGAGACACTCTTTAGCAGGGCCTGTTGTGGTAGGACAAGGGGAAATGGTTTCAAACTAAAACTGGGGAGATGCCCCATCCCAAGGGCATCCAAGGTCAGGCTGGATGGGGCTCTCAGCACTTGATGGAGCTGTGGGTGTCTCAGTTCATTGCAGGGAGTGGGACCAGATGGTCTTTAAAGACTCTGTGATTCTACTTGCGCAATTTCCTCTTTGCTGAACAGCTCAGGGGTGGAACGTGGTGAGTGCAGTCAGGCACAAGTGAGAGGCAACTACCCATCATCAACCCTGTGGGGGAGAGCCCCTCCCAGGCCAAGAGGTGTGCAGGGATCTAGCAGCCACAGAGGTCACACATCTGCATTCCCCAGGAGATGGGCAGGAAGACCAGCTGCAGCAGTTGACAGCGTTGGAAGGCTCTGCATTCTCAGCACCATGTCCTGGCTGGGGCTGGGTCCTTCTGTGTCAGCCAAGCCACCCTCCAGCTCGGTGCTGAACTGGAGTTACTGCTCCAGTCCGGGGAGCTCAATTCAGCTGCAACATCATGGCTAAAAATCACCATTCCTGCAGTCACCCAGGTGGGGACCTCTCTGGGGAATCCTGCTCTGGCTCTCCTCCTGCACCCCAAAACCCCCACCCCAAGCATTACAAAGTACAGTGCTTTGGGAAGGAGAGAGGTCAGCCAAAGTTCAACATTGGGGTGAATCTATCACTGTGTGCACTTAATCAAGTAGCAGCCATTCCTGCAGATAAGTGGAAAGGACGGCTCACGTCCTGGTGATAAAGAGGCAGGATTGCCTTGAGTTTTGGGAGATAAGGAGTCACTGTAAAAATTGAGTGTTTTGTACTATGGTCAGCTTGAAACAGCTTTATCTGGTGGTGATAAGAGGGCAGGGGAGGTAGAGCTCACAGGGGATGACCATAATCCAAGATATGGCACAGATCTAACTGCCAGGGCAGCAGCACCACAGCCCCCAAAGCAGACCCTCAGGCAGGTAAAGGTTTTTCCTTTTGATGCACTTTTATTGCCACTCCTTTCACACAGAGCTGTAGTCAGCAGGAGGACTGCAGGGCAGTGTGATGGGATTGGAATTTCAGCCCAGCGTGGGCATCCCATCAGCAACTTGGGTTGGAAACCCAAATTAGTGAGTGTGAGGCAGGGACATGGTGGCAGACAACCTTCTTGCAGGAAGAGAGAAAACCTGACAGCCCCGCTGTGGGTGCACAAACAGCCCATTTCCCACCCAGTAGGTGCATCTCCCCCTGCTCTGGGTCAGAGCCGAGGGGCAGCGTGGCTGTGCCCCAGCCCTGCCCTGCAGCCTGGGGCAGTGGAGCAGCACATCCCCCAGCACGGTCCCTATCCACACCACTACAAAAAAGTTTCTCTCATTAAGAAACAATTAAAAAAATCAGTATTAGAAAGAGTTGGGATCGTACAAAGATTCAAGTAGCATTAGTTGAACTAAAATTCAAGTCCTACTCAGCAGCTTATAAAATTAGGAAAAAAAAAAAAAGAGGACTGGAAGTATCAGTGTGAGGGTGGTGCATCCCTGTGACACCCCTCCGTCCCCATCTCACTGACCTTGCTCAGGCCAAAGCCCCAGTGAGGCACGGTCTGTGTGCCACCACCTGTCCCCACGCCCCTCTTTGCCAGCCCACGTCTGTCCACGGATAACAGCAAAGCCCCAGGCCTAGAGCTCCTGCAGCCGTGCGATCAGGTCATCCTTGTTCTTCAACAGGAACTTCTCACAGGCCTCGAAGGTGGCACAGAAGTTGGAGGACAGCCCCACCACATTGGTGGTGACGTAGTTGAGGTACCCGGGCGTCGCCTGGTTGTAGTAAGCCACCTGTGATGAACAGGAGATGGGTGGCACGGCTGGGCATGGAGGCTGAACCCCCCAGCAGTGCACAACGTGGCCACAGCCCCTCACCTTGCTCATCTCCTCTGACTCCGGCCACACACAGAAGCCGGAGCAGAGCGTCTCACCCCGTGTGTAGTTGGTGCTGGCAGGGTGCGTGGGCAGCGTCACCGACCGAAAGGCCACCACGTAGGGGTCCCTGGCAGGGGACAGCAGCATGAGCGGGGTGCAGCCCGGGTGACGGGACAAAGACATCACCTACTGCTTACCCTCTGCTGCAGGGTTTCCGCCGGGAGGCCAGGATGACAAAGTCCTGCGGCTTGTTCTCACAGCTGAGTGTCTGGCTCAGCACGTGGTAGATGGCATCATCCTCATCCACCTGCTGCACCAGCTCGGCACTCCTGTGGGTGGGAGAGAGAATGGCAACAGGCAGTGAGAGCTGCTGTGCACACTGAGTGCTGGCAACCCCAGGGATGGGAACACACAGTTCAAGGCATGAGAACAGCTCCAGGGTGAGATGTTAGGCCCCAGGGAAGCCCAAAGGATGTGCTTTTGGAAAGGGATGGGTGCCTGCTCCCACGCCGTCCCGGCAGCACTCACTCATAATGGCTGTCCCACTCGTGCCGGCGCTGCAGGTCGGAGAGCAGGGAGAAGGCCTGGCTGGCTGAGATGTGCACCGACATCTCAATGCGGAAAGAGAGGAACTTGTCCTCCTCTAGCGTGTAGATCTGCACCTTGTGGAGCATAGACAGAGTATGGCTGGGACATGCACTCAGCATGCCTGCACTCTTGGCACAGCTCAGAGCACTTGGGTTAGTGCTGTACCTTCTCCTTCTCCCTGGCCAGCACCCAGTTGGCTTTGGCTACAAGTGTCTTCAGCGCAGAGACGTTGTTGTAGCTCAGGTACACCTGTGACAGAGCAGCACATCAGGGCCAGGGGTATCCCCAAAACACAGGCAGGAGGCAGTGCCACCTGTAGCCACACACCTTATTGCTTTGGTCCCAGGGCACAGACAGCGGAACCTCCGTCTGCTTACAGGAGACAACGTATTTCCTGCAAGAAAGTCTTCCTTACAGCAGGGCAAAAGCTGGGGTGTCCCTGCTCCCCGGTGCCAAGGAAGGCATCTCCCATTTCCCCCCGTTCCACTTGCTCTCACCGGTCCAGCCGAATCTTCTTCCTAGCACTGGCTTCTCTGTACCGCCTTTCTCCATCCTGATAAATGGGAAAAGCACATCAGGTTAATGGAAAAGGAGGAAAAAAAAAAATATTTTGTAGAGTGGGTAAAACATTCAGCAACAAAGGGCTGAAAGATGAAGCCTTGTGCTCCAGAGATTAACTGGGAGCTATTTCAGTGTGCTGGGAGAAGGCAAAGAGCCCATCAGCTGATGTCAGTGCCTCTCTGGTAGCAGCACTGTGATCAAGGGATGGATGCTAGCTGTGTGCCACTGCAGCAGGGACATGGGAGACGTGGGGGTACAAGGGGACTGCAGTCCTTACCCCTGGCTGGGGCATGACCATGGGCAGCGTGCGGGGCCGGCCCTCCTCATCCAGCACCACGAAGGTCATGAAGGCACTGTTGATGTGCCTCCGGCTGACAGACATCTCCTGGTCATAGGCCTCGGTGCAGACCCCCACCTCCATGCTGGGGGGGGAAAAGAAGAAAGAGTGAGGCACGGGGAGCCACGAGAAAGGCTAGAAGTGCTGTCACCAGCACTCACCTGTTCTTGAAGGCATTGTTGACAATGGCCTTGAGCACCAGGCGGTCCCCGACCTGCGACGGCCCGCGGAAGTGGAACATCTCGATGGCACGCAGCGTGGGGTGGGCATGGCACAGCCGGCTGCAGGGCAGATGTCACGCCATGCAGCATCTCCATCACAACCAGAGCCAGGGGGGACCCTTGTGGGATGTGTGCCTGCCCTTCCCTAGCACCACCGTATGCATGGGGACTGCCAACTCCCGTTGCCATCCCCAAAGGCTGCGTGCCAGTCTCTGTCACTCCAACATCTCCAGAAGGCCCCCACCACCCACCTGTGGCCCAGCCCACCCGCCCTGATGCCCCTTCCCTGCAGGCACCTGGCTGCGATGGTGGCCACATTCTCCATCCAGGCCATGATCTGCCCACCAAAGGTGTTGCCCTGGTGGTTGGCGTGCGGCGGCAGCACCAGCTCCACGCTCTCCACTCGCGTCTTCTCAGCCGGCACCACCACGCTGCCATCCCTCGTCTCCATCTCTGCCAGAGAGGACGGGGCTCAGTGCCACGGCCACCCCCACGCCCGGCCCCACACCTCCCTTGTGGACATGCAGTACCGGTGTTACTGGTGCTGCGGGTGAGGAGATCCTTGAGGGTGTCCTTGTGCACCAGCCGCATCCGACGGCGCTCGGCTGCAATGCTGTGCTCAATCTTCTCCTCCTCTGTCTGCGGGGTCAGCGGCCTCAGCTTCACCTAGGTGTGGGTGATGGATGGGGTGGGCCCTGTGTAGGGTTCCAAGGGGTGGCATGCATCCCAAGTCACATGCAGAGCTAGGCAGGCTCTGCATGCTTGGCTCAGTTGGCTGTGCTGAGGGAAATGACTCTTCCTGCTTGCACATGTCCCCACGGCTTGGGAAAATTTAGGCACAGCCCCACCTGCCCCCAGCCCCTGTTGCAGAGGTGATTTCCTACAGGTTGGGCACGGGGCTCACTGCACAGCACTTACCTTGGTGCCTAGGGGACCCTGTGCCACGAAGGTGGCATAAGCCTTGCAGATGCTGCAGTGCTTCCCGCTGCACAGGTCCTCGTAGCTCACCTGGATGCCAACCTGGCAGAGGGCACAGCACAGGGCCTCTGAGACACATGGATGGGTGGCAGGGACTGATGTTCAGCCAGCACCACCAGCACAGAGTGGGAAGTTTGTGCAAGCACGTGCAGGGGTTCCTCACCCCAAATATTTCCTCCTGAGGAAGGAGGGGGCTGAAAGCAGCAGGTGGAGCATAGTGATGCCCAACGTAGTTTGGGATCTTGAAACCAAGCACAGGAGAAAGGGAGCAGTTTGGTGCCCAAGCAGCAGCAGGTGCATGTGTAAAGGCAGCATCACCCCAAGCTGAGCCAGAGTGAGCAGAACAGACAGCACAGCCCCGGAGCTACAGAGCAGAGCAGCATGCAGGTATTCTGCAGGTGGCCACAGCACAGAGGGTGCAGCTGGCAGGGACAGCAACATGTCAAGGGTGGACATGGGGCAAAGCATGGTTGCAGCACACAGACCTCCATGCTGGAGTTGAAGGCTCGGTTCACTTTGGCTTTGATGTTAACGACTTGCCCAACGCTGGAAAACATAAAGAGAAGAAGGGACAAGAGGTGAGCGGATGGTGAGGTCCCACAAGTGTGCAGAGCACATGCTCCAGTGCTGAGCAGCTCCTTGCTGAGGTGCCAAATGAGCAAACGTGTCTGACTGGCAATAGCGATAGAAAATGGGATGGCCACAGGGTTCCTGCACCCTGACCAGCACTTCACCAGAGGTAGATGTGCCCAGAACCTGGCAGCCAGTTAGGCTGGCAGCAGGCCACTGGAAGGCATACTTGTAGGAGAGCTCCAGCAGAGCGCAGCTCTGCCTGAGCCCCACACCCAGCCAAGAGAGAGGGCAGAAAGTGGCACCTTTACCTAATGGTGTGCTCAAAATAGATGTCATCCATCGAGGCAGTGACGCACGGGCAGCCAGCATGTCTTTCAGCTGAGAAGGAACAGCAAACAGCGTCAGCAGCCTGCAGCAGCATACAGAGCTGCCAGCCCAATGTTTGGGGTGACAACAACCTCAAAAACCCTGCTCCTGTCTATGCCCTTTTCCCATCTGTGCCCACTAAGAGCAGCATTTTAGGTTTCCCCGCCTCTGTTTTGCAGACATTTTGCCCAGGGTTCACCCCTGGGGCAGCTCCTGGCCACATCACCCTCAATGTCTGCCTTGCCCTGATGATGCTTTCTCAGCAATGCACAACAGCTGATACCATCTATCCCTTCACAGCAACTACTGTAAAGCCAGCTGCTGGCTTGGCTTCCCCTCAAGACTACAAAAGCATCTCCAAACTGCAGAACTGCCCCTGTTTCCTGGTCTCATTGGTGTGGGTTTGGCTGCACGGAGGCCAGCAGTTAGGGGGAAGCAGACAGACCAAGGAGCTGTGTGCAGCAGAGCCACCTCCCCCTGTCCTGCTGCTGGCCGCTCCATTACTCAGCAGAATGGCACGGCTCCCAGCTGCCGTCAGCGCTGTGGGCAGCAGGCAGGGAATGGCACGCTGCTGCCCGAACACAGCCCCACACTTCCCCACCCCAGCCCTCTTCCTCCACCCCTGCTGTCCGCATGAGAGGATGCTTGTTGCTTTGCTTTCCACCACCAAACACTGCTGCAAGCATCCTCAACCAGCTCATTTTCCTCCCCATGCAGAACAAGCTCCCCAAACCGATGGGCTACAAATGCCCAGGCACAGCTTACCCGAGAGGCAAGCAGCCGTGTCGATCCACTTGAGCAGCTGCCCGGCGCTGAGCTCCCCATGCTGGTTGCTGTGGCAGGGCAGCACCAGTTGGCTCATCTGCACCTCGGTGGGGTTATGGCCACCCATGGCCCCCGCAGCCTCCTCCTGCTGCTCCCCTGTGTCCTGGGTGCACGGCGGTGAGGTCGAGCCCTGTGGGAAGAGGGGAGGGATACGGTTCATTACCCAGCCTGATTAGCAAACATGCCTGTGGGATGGGTGAGCATGGGGAGCACGATGCTCTCAACCCCATCGTTTGCTTTTCCCATCCCACATTTTGGTGCCGCAGAGGGCACCTGCTCCTCAGCTTTGTACAAATGGGAGAAACATCTCCCAGGAGACGAGGAAACCCTGCTTGGCAGGGCAGGATGCTCGGGCAGCACATTGCTGGGGAGAGAAGAATAAAATGTTATGAATGCAGAGTTTCAATAGGGTCAGCACTGTTCCTGCCCGGCCCCTGGCTCACCGGGCACCGAGTGGTGTTTAAGACGGACTGTGATTGCAGCTGTGCTGTCAGGAGAGGATTCAGCCTGGAGTGGGCCGTGTTACACAAGGGCTGAACTCAGCACACCCTGTGAGTAATTGAGGAGCCATGAGAGCAGTCTGGGCTTCATTACAGAGCTTCCTTCCGCTTTCTGCTCTAACAATGTCCCCCATTTATAGCACTTGTTGCGAGATCCCACTCGCAGCAGCTTCTTTCCCCTCCGCTTCTCTCCAGCTGCCTTTGTAAATGCTTTATTCTCAGAACACAGCCTTCCCTCCTACCCCAGGCTCACCGAATACCACTTCGCTTCTCAGAATAGCATTTTCCATCACTGGTCTAACAGGAGCCTTCTGTTTCCATAGCTACTGGTACAAAGCATCCCAGGAATGGCACAAACCTCGGGTTATCGAAGGCAGCAAGTGAGCCCTAAGGAAGGGGCACCCATCCCGGCAGCCTCGAGCCCCCCACAAACCCCCCGGGTGTCCACAGCACAAGGACACAGCTATTTCTGGAAGGCAGCGGGCTCTGGGGTGTGAGCCAGCACTACGCAGAGCTCCAAAGCTTTCTGCAGCACAGTTCTGATCTCAGTGGCTGGGGACGTTAATAGGGACGGGGCACTGCATGCCGGCAGCCCTGGGGTTATTGGCACAGCACACTGGGTACCTGGAGGCCATTGCAACAGAAACTCAGGATGTCTTCAGGGACTACAATGTTCCCCTTGACCATTTTTAAAAGATACCTGGAAAGGAGAAGAGCAGCTAGGGTTAAAAGAGGGATGGCAAAACGTGGGGACGTTGCCATAAAGGGGGATCTGAGGCACTACAGAGCGACCACAAGTGCTGGAGCGCTCTGCATTGGGATGCACACAACCATTTGGTTTGGGAAGAGCTGGCTAAATCCATGCGTGGGAGCACAGCAACGTGGGGAGGAAGCTGCCAGCACCTTGTAAACAGACAAAAGGTGACGGCAGGGCTCAGCACAGGGCTCAGCACAGAGCACTCACAGGGTGGCCCTGGCCGCAGTCAACCCCACAGCCCACCCCAGAGGGACAGGGAGAGCTGGAGCCCAGCCCTGTTCTCTGATACAGCATCCAGGATGACGGCTGCGGGTCTAAAACCCAAAGGGCAGAGTCAGGTCCCAAGCTTGCCATTCCACAGGGGTCAGCCTGAGGATTTTCCACAGTGTTACATGTGACAGAGGGCTGTGCTTGGAGGTGTGGACATCACAGTGACACCAGTGCAGTCACAAGACCCGAGCAGCATGCCCTTGGCACTGGAGGGGCTCACACTGTGCCTGGCTGCCAGCGGGGCAGCAAATGGGAAGCTCCCATCCCTGCCACACCACTGCCCGGCATAGAGCCTGGAATGGAGCACAGCAGGCACTGGGGACACCTGGCGTGGTGGTGGCATTGCAAGGGATGAGAACAAATTTTTCTCAATATCCATGCCTGATTGAAGTCTCCACTCCAGCAGTGCCTTGCTTTGCTTTAACCAAGCCCCACATTTTCTCCAGATTGCAGCTGAGCCTTGGGAGCTTGCTTATGGCTCACCTCTCGCAAGCAAGAGCACAGCACAGGAGTCCATCTGCTCACAGCAAGCAGCCTTTGCTCCTCAGGTTCAGTTTGTTGCAGGCAGTGGTGGGGGTGGCCCCATCCCACCCCACAGCCATGGTACCAGTGTCAAGGACACGTGGTCCAGCACGTGCCTTGGAAACCCAAACCCTGTGCTCTCCAACTGCACTTGTGCCACCTTGTTCGTTCCAGCATGAGCAGGAAAGGAAAAGAATTATAAAGAGCCACCTGCTTTGCATCCCTCCACTGTTTTGGATGTGGGCACACACTCGCTACCCTGGAACACATGGGGAAGGGGAGTGCCCAACCACACTACTCACAGCACACTGCAGACCTGCAGCCATTCAGACCGAGGGTATTTATAGAGAATTCAGTTATTGAAACTAAGGGAGCAAGTGTCTGTCCTCATTAAAATCTTCCGTCTTACTCAGCTGTCAAATGTTTAAAGCTGTTGACTGATGCAGCCCCCGGGTCACCATGGCAACAAGATGTGTCACCCAGGCGATGATGCTCTTACTCTGTCACCCCTTGAGTGACCCACTTCTACCAAAAAAATAAAGTTTGCATTACAAAAAGAAAAACCCTTTGGAGGAATATTTCTCTTGCCTCCTGCTGCAATCACAAAGCCAAGCTGAGTTGAACTGGGAGCAATTGATCGATAGAGGAAAAGAGAGATGTTTTTTCATTTTCCTTTTGCATGGAGATCCTCAAGTCCTTGAGCCTCAGGAACATGGTGTTTGGCTGAGCCAACCCTAAAAAATGGGTTGATGCTGGGGGGCCCTGGTGTTGGGTCCCCAAGGTCCTGGCAGGGCAGAGCGTAGCCATGGACACACTGAGCCTCCACTGACTCTGATGAGCATTCCCCAAAGCCTAACCCAGATTTCCCCTATTCATCTTTGCTCTCCCTTCCCCGCTCCATCCCCTTGACACATCCTGACCCATTCCTGGGAATCTTGAAAGAAAAAAGTGGGGGGAAGGAAAGCAGCAACAATTAAGTTCTCTGGGGAGGATTATTGGTGTATAATTGAGCAATATCCATGGTAACGAGCAAATCAGCGTGCATTAAAAAATTAACCTGACCTACTTTGGGAAATCCCACCACCTCAATAGGGCAGTGGGAGAGGCTGTGCCCAGGTTGGGACCAGAAGAGGACAGACAGCACAGTGGGGACAGGGAACAGTCGGATACATGCAAGAGCTTTTTTGGGAACACATTTCACGCCCTCCACTGAGGTTTCATAGAGCAGAGCAAGGTATCAGGCCCAGAAAGCATAACCTGGATCCCTTTCTGAGGGCTGTACGCCTGCAGCCATGAGAAACTTTCAGTGTTGCAGGCATAGCTGGGACCCTCCATCCTCATCCTTCTCCCATGGCTCCTGCCCATCCCCAGGGCTACGGGCAACGAGGCCAGCGTGGGAACAAAGTCCTCAGAATGCTTAGTGGGGGACAAAGGTCCCCAGCACCGCTGCCACCAGCCCAGACAGGGAGCAGAGCTGTGCGTGAGCCCTTATAGGTGCCAGCAGTGCAGGGGACAGACTGCACAAACACGGGGACATCCAACAGCGTTGCCCAGAGCAGGTGCCCACCTGCTCCCCATGGCTTCCTTGGGGAAGAGACCACCAGGACCGCCGTGGTCAAGACCCCAATGGCTGAGACCACCACGGTCAGGACCATCACCATCAGGACCGTCACAGCTGGGCTCACCGTGATCTGTAGCACCGCAGTGTCGAGCTGCCACACAATCCACCTGCCCACTTTTCCTAAATATTTGTCCCCTTTTAAGCACAAGGAGGCCGGTTCACCCCAAACTCCCCCCCAGATCACTGCCCCAAACTTCTCCCGACAGCGATCCAGCCAGAGCAGGCACCGCTCCCACGCCTGCCGTGCCAGCTCCACGGTCCCACTCGCATGCCACTGTCCCCATGTCACCCCCTGGGCATCCCCTCTGCCCTCACCTCAGCCAGAAGAAGCTGAGCATTTGCAGCGCGTCGTGGCGGCGGCAGAAGGAAGAGGAGGAGGAAGAGCAGAAGGAGGAGGAGGAGGAAGAATGAAAGGAGGAGGAGGAGAGGGAGGGAGAAGGAGGAGGCGTGCGGACACCTGCGTGCAGCTCGGGGCTCGGCGGCAGCGGGCGTGAGGGCAGCCCTGCGTCCTTGGGAAGCAGCCAGAGCTCAGCCCTTCCTCACAGCGCAGTTCTTAAGGTCGCGCTCTCAGCCCGGAGCTGCTGCGCCCGAAGCGGCCCCGATGGGGACGGTACAAAAAGTTGCCAACACAAGGAAAGAAATGCAAATCGCCGTGTCACCGCCCGTTGGCTCTTGGGGGAGACGTTGTTCCGTTTGCGTTGTGCGTGCGCGCTTTTAGCGGGGAACGTTTGGTAACCGAGGTACGAGGCGCTGATCAAAGCCCCTCACGGCGCGGCTGGAAAGGCAGGAGCGAAATAACGCAAGGAATTCAGCAGGAAGCAGGGCCTGGAGATCGGCAGCGAGCTGGGAGCGGCGCAGGGCAGGCGGAGCGCTGCGGTCGGGCTCGGGGCCGCGAGGTGCGGGGCGAGGCGGCGTTGGGGCTCAGCCCGCACCCAGCTCCCTCCGAAAAGCCGCTCTCCCAGCGCAATTAGCGCGATGCTGTAATTACAGCTCGCAGCCGCGGCCCTGCAGGGTGCGTCCAGCCGGCACCGCACGCCCGTCCCTCGCAGACCCTCGGTGCGCGGCGCTTAGCGGGTGGATAATTAGCTAAACGAATTAATTGACATCCCTCCTTGTAATTAGCAAGCGGTTACAAGCAGCTATTCTCGTTGGGACGAGGGAAATTTCGCAGGGATTGGTGTTAAAATACTGTAAAATCGGTAAGAGTAAATAACGAGGGCCGCACGTAGAGGCGGAGGCAGGGCACGAAGCTGCGGCCGCGCTGCTTAATCGCTCCGTTAATTACTGCGCGGTGACAAAGCTGGGGGAGCCGGTGGCCTGGGCGAGGCACGGCAGCTGCAGCAGGGTGAGGTGATGGCGGGACGAGCCGTTGGCAGCCCGCACGCCGAGCCTCCCCGCGCACGGCCCCCGCCGCCCCTCGCCCCGCAGCCGGCCCCGCTCGCCCCGAGGGGCCGCAGCGCGCCGTTCCACCTCTCGCCGCCAGAGGGCGCCATTGTTCCGAGCGGCGGCGCGGCCTTCCCCCCCTCTTCCCCGCGGCACGGCGCAGCGTGGCGCCCGCCCAGGCGCGGCCTTCCGGCGGCCGCGGCCCGCCTGCGGGGCCGGGGCGGGGGTGGGGGCGGGGGCCGGGCGGCTCCGGCCCCCGCGGGCCTCGGGGAGGCGGGGCCGGGGCGGGCGCTCGGCCCAATCAGAACGCGGCGGTTTCAAGAGGCCCCTTCCGCGCCCCGCTCCGCCCCGTGCGGCGCCGCGCTGCGGGCGGGCGGCCCCGGGGGAGCGCGGGCGGCCGGGAGCGGGCAGGGAGCGGTGCGCGCCGATGTGCGCCGCCGTGCACGGAGCGATGGGCAGCGCGTTGCTCCCGGAGCCGTGCCCCGCTGCCGGGCTCTGCCGGCGGGGGTGTCCCCCGTTCCCTCCTAGAAATAACGCTTCTGGGTCGGCGATGCGGAGCGGTTCGCGGTGCCCGCACGTCGTTCCGCGCTGCCGGGCTCCTGCAGGCGCACGCACGCGGGGAAAGCCCTCCGCCGTTCCCCGCTGGCGGTAGAAACGTGGCTGCCTCCATGCTGAGGCGATGCCGTGAGGCGGGGAGGTGGGCTGTACCCCCCCCCGGCCCCGGAGATTCGCGCATCGTTCCCCATCCGAAGCCCCGGGTTGGCCTCTGCCGTCCGCCCCGCTCCGTACGTGCGGGTCGAGGCCCTGCCGCTCCGCACCGCTGTTCCCCGGGCCCGGGGGTCGGGGCAGCGTTCAGAGCCAACGCAGCGCCGGGCTGAGGGCTGGGTGCTGCACGGCGGATGGCGGCAGCCCCGGCCGGAGGCAATAAAACACCGGGAATGATGCAGCAAAACAGGCAGGAGCTGCGTGGCAAAATAAATCATCCCACGCGGAGGAGGTGGTTTTCTGCCCTGCCTTTCGCCTCGGCCAACAAAGCCCCGCTGGGCGGCGAGGGTCCGGCTGGATGCGGCCCTGCACGGTGCCCCTCGCCGTGCTGGGAGCTCGTGGCCATCTCCTCCCACCTCCCTCGCCTTCACCTTGGAGCGAGCAGCTCGCCGAGCTGCCAGCAATGATAAAATGGCTGTGCCCCGAATTTATGGAGTTTATCTGTGAATAACTCTTGGAGGTGCCGCTACCGTGGAGCCGGGGAGGAGGGGAGCTTTGTTTTGGGATACGCTGTGCTGACAGCCCAGCCCCAGCGTGTGCCCCCAGCCCTCCTCTTGTCCGCCGTGCCCTCGGAGCCCCCTTGTCTCCAGCTCACGGGGACAGAGCAGCCCCAGCCCAGCTCCCTGCTGACACTCTGAGGGCTTGTTTCCTATCCTCAGCGTGTTTACGAGGAGCTCCGTCGCTTTGGCACATCGCAGCAGCCCCTGCGGAGCGCATTTAGCACCCCGGGATTGCTGCTTCTCACCGCGTGTGCCTCTGCTGTGCTGCAGTGAACCCTGGGGACAAGCAGGCACCGAGCAGCACCCGGGCTGGGGGAAGCACCGTGCTGGAGCCCCCCCTCCACGCTGCCGCAGTGACATCCATCACAAGTTTCCAAGCCTCATCTAATTTTGGAGGCCTTCAGCAAATCCAGGCGCTGTTGCTGCCAAACGAGGCTGCCAATGTTTCCCTCGGAAGACGGCTTTGCTCTGAAGGACCCTTCTGGATGGTTTTGCTTTTAATAGCGGGATGGAAGCAGGCAGCATTGCTGTGGGATGGTCCGGCTGCAGGGCGAGCCTTCCCTTTATCGCCATCAGCCATGAAAACTGGGAGATTTGGACCATGCTGTGATGGCTCCAGGGAAAAGAACGGGATAGAGGGGCTGAGGGAAGCCAGAGGCGGTGAGGTCGGCGTGCCGGGAGGTGCGAGGGCTTGCAGAAACCCAACCGCTTCTGCAGCTACCCAGCGTCAGGAAAATGAAGCTGAAGTGTGAAAAATGAAAGTGAAAAGATAGGAACCAACCCACGGCTATTTATTCTAAAAATACTGACCTAAATACTTAAGTGCACATATAAAAGTAGTTGTCTTTTCTTATTCCCTTTATGGACTCCCCTGCTTTGGTTCTTGTTTTGCACAGAAATCAGAGGGATGGGCTTCCCAGGGGCATCCATCTCATTCCCTCTGTGCTTTGCCATAAGCCCCAAGCCCACCCAGAGCCCCGTATTGGGCGGGGACACCCACAGGTGGCTGATAAGGGAGCAGGGAGTGATATGGCCCCAGGGTGAGGAGCAGTGCTGGGGTGATTCTACAGAGCCTGTAAAACCTCGTCTGCAGGGAAAAAAGGAGCCGCTGGGTCCCTTCTTCGCCTCAGCCAGCAGATCTTCCCTGCACTCTTTGCTTTTTTATATGGAAAACGAAATACACCATAAACAGCTAAAAATGAGCAGTTTGGGGCTGTGGCTCTGGCCTGGAGTTACCTGCCTGGGTGCTGGGTTGCGTAGGGAGGGGATGCTTAATTGCAACACGTCGCTGGAAGGGAAATGTGCGCCTTCTGTGTGCGCTTGTCTTGTCTGCATGGAGGGGAAGCTGCAGCCTCAGACCCCAGGAGCAGCGGGGGAGCTGGGGAGCCTGGGTCCTTCAGCGTGCTGAGCACAGGTCTGGCAGGGAGGGAGTCGGTGCTGCTGGGGAGGGCTGCTGCATTTTGCATTCACAGCCCATCTATTTTGCAATAACCTCACCGTGATGTTCCCACGTAGGCAAGCCTAAGCTAGCATAGATAATGAAATGGGTTAAAGGAGACAGGAGGAGGGAGAGAAGAGGAGCCAGCAAGTCGTAGTAAATCAGGGAGAGAACAGGATTACTTGAACTCAAGGACTCAGCAGCAGGATGAGTTTGGTTTATGCTGAGAGGCTCCATGTTCCATCCCTATTGCCACCAGCAGCACATCCAGCAAACAGCCCCCATCCCGGCTGCAGGGGGGCTTGCAGAGATGAAGGAGGTTCTGGGGATCCAAAACTGCTGCCAGCCAGGCTGGGTGTGCAGCAGGTTCTGCTCAGTGGGGCAGCACAGGCTAACCCCAGCAGCTCATGGATGCTGGGGGACCCGGACACTGAGGCTCCCCCACCTTTGGCATGGGTTTAGAGGCAGTCCAAACAAGCTAATTAAATTCTGCTCTGCTTAATCAGAGCCATTGAACAGCAGTCAGAAGAAATTAATCCCGTGTTTTATTAGATGCTGTTTGAAGTCGCATTTGGCACCTCATCCTCAGTTCTCATCTCCTTCTGGGGAAGGAAGAAGGACATCTGCAGGGAAGAGCGAGGGTGCAGCAGATGGCAGCGGGGATGATTCAGGGCCTTGAGGAAGGAGCTGCACCTCCAGCAGCACTCCTGGGGGGACGAGGCACCTCTCCCTGCATCCCACCGCCTCCCCCCACCACAAGGCCACAAGCCAGGCAGGGCTCCCAAAAATACGTGTTCCTCCACATTGCACGCTAATGGCTCCGTGCCATAGGTCCCACTGCAATTAAAGCCTGCGGAGCGTTAATATGCATCATGGTGAGGCCACTCTTCCCACAGCTACTCCCTCCCAAACCTGCCCGTCCTGCTGCACATCCCTGCCCACAGCAACCTGCCCACGGGGATCCCACCCAGCCTGGGCTCAGCCTGCGGCAGCACTCACACCTCACCCTCGCTATGCCAGGGGCTGCTGCCTTTGGCCCCTTGGTTGCCCAGCAGCATTTTCTCCTGCCTTGGAGCTGAGCAGAGCGGGGCCGTTTCGATGCCTGCCTGGCGGGTGCTGCGGGATGCAGAGAGGGAGGCACCCAGCTCTGTGAGCCGTCACACAGGAGAGGTTCAGGCAGGTGGTTATTGGTTTGAGTTTTTAATGAATTCTGGTGCC